CAGAGCGTCGGCGCTACATTCGGGCCATGGAGGAAATGATCAGGGTGTCAAGGGGTTATGCAAGCACAGCCAGACCGCAAGTATGTGCCATATATTTACGGTCTTGAATGGCAATACTGACTGGATTACTAGATGTCTGCTTGTTTACTCTCGACGCTGGCACAAGATGCACTGAGAGAAGCAAGCTTCTCGTGCTGGGCATCGATGCTCACACACCTTGAGGAGGCAGATGTCGAGGCATTATTAGAAACAACATTTTTCGTCGTCACCCGTTACTGGCCCTTCTTGAACGAGTCAACGGCTCTACTTGCGCAGCAAATGCTCAAGTCTCTCGTTGATGAATTTGATCCCCTTGTCGCAAAGTATATCGTCAAACTCCCTTCGCTCAGACACATTCCAGAGTTAAAGGACATCGAGACAAAACTGGATCAGCATAGACCAGCAGCACTCGCAGTTGAAGATGTTTTGGAAGCTTTCGCCGAGAGAATCTGCCATGAAAACTCCGGTGTTGCCCTTCAAGCATTGACAGAATTGATACCATACCTTCAGGAAAACCAAGCGGCCCTTCACACCTCTGAGATTAGTCTACAGTCAGATATTGGCGTTGTAGCACTTATGCGGTCGCTTCTGGATTGTGCAAGTAAATACAGCGGCCTTCCAGGAGACATAGCGCGCCTATGCACAGAAGCAATGGGCTTAATAGGTTGCCTGGATCCCAGTAAGATCGAGACTGTGAGAGAACAACGATCAATCGTCATCTTGAACAATTTTGCGACGAATGAAGAAACTACGGACTTCGTTCTGTTTCTTCTGGAAGAGGCCCTGGTGCCAGCTTTTTTATCTACAACTGATGTTAAATTCCAGGGATTCTTGTCTTTTGCTATGCAGGAACTCATGGGCAGGTGCGACATCAAAGCTGCATGTGCCATGGAAAACTCGGGGATGAAAGGTGGAAACGATATCTATCGAAAATGGGTTGCAATGCCAGAAACTGTTCGGGAAGTGGTGGCCCCTTTTCTGGCCTCCCGGTATGTCGTTGCTCCAATGCCACACACCGAGATCGAGTATCCGCTCTTTCGTCCTGGCAGACCTTATCCGAGTTGGCTGAGAGTTTACGTTCTGGACCTTCTACGCAAGGGCCAGACGCCCTTTGCCGACTTGATATTCGAGCCCCTTGCGCGTGTCATTCGCGTCAAAGATCTCTCTATTGCAGAATTCATCCTTCCCTATATAGTCCTGCATACTCTTTTAGGGTCTCGGACCACACAGCAAGAAAGGGACGATATTCTCGGGGAACTTCTTGCTATTTTGCAATATCAGCCTGCTGAGACGGCATCGTATCAGGAGAAGGAGGATATGCGGCGATACTGTCATGTAGGCTTCAAAATACCTTACTCTTTTGACATATACTAACTAGCCTCTAGCTTGTCTTCCGCGTTGTAGACTATGCAATGAGATGGATGCAAACCAGGCGAGCAGCTGGTCGCCTCACTGAAACTGACAGGGAGAGACTAGCTCAAGTGCAGGAGGCTCTCGATCTGATTCCAGCCGAACTCATAGCACAGAGGGCTGTCGACTGTAATGAATACGCCCGTGCCCTTTTCCATTTAGAGCAACATGCCCACAAGATGGAACAGAGGAAGAAAGAACCAGGGGAGCGTACCCGTCTCTTACAAAAACTTCAAGATATTTATGCCAATGTCGATGAGCCCGATGGCCTTGATGGAATTTCAGCTCATTTACAAGTTCTTGACATCAACCAACAGATTCTGAGCCATCGCAAAGCAGGCAGATGGACTGCTGTTCAGAACTGGTACGAGATGCAACTGGCTGAGAACCCTGTCAACACGGATATCCAGATCGACTTGCTTCATTGCCTGAAGCAGGCTGGTCAGCACGGTAGGGTACTTCAGTCTTTTGTCCCGATAGTAGCTAATTATTGACAGAGGGGTTGTTGAATCACATCGAGGGTATGCACACAGATGCATCTACGGACAACAGGATCATGCCTTATGCAGTAGAGGCGGCATGGGTGACAGGAAGGTGGGAGAGCCTTGCCAAATTCACTAAACGATTTCGCGGCGACCCTATTGAAGACTTCAACATATCGATTGCGACCCTTTTCGAAAAGCTGAGGGCTAAAGACAAGCCTGAAGAGCTCAGTAAGATAATGAAGGATATAAGGGTCAAGATTTCATCATCGATGAACGCCGCATCCACCTCATCGCTACAAGCCTGCCATGACCTCCTCCTCAAGTCACATGTTCTTACGGACGTGGAAATCATAATAGGAACAAAAGCGAGTGACGAGGTCGCCCGACAAAAGACAGCAGCCCTGCTAGAAAGGAGACTCGAAATTATAGGCGCTTACATGAACGACAAGCAATATCTCCTGGGTATTCGCCGTGCCACAATGGAGTTGACTAGGTAAGATTCAATATACAAGAGCCATTACCAGCCCATATGCTTACCAATACAGACCTATATTCACTGACTTGGACATTTCTGGATTATGGCTCTCGAGTGCACGCCTTGCACGGAAGTCGAACTCGCTTCATCAGTCTTTCAACGCTGTTCTACACGCTTCAAAGCTGGGCGATGATGCGGCTACTATTGAGAATGCCAAGCTTCTTTGGAGAGAAGATCAACACCGAAAGGCCATACAAGTTTTGCAGGGAGCAATTAAGAGCAACAAGTTCATGACACAAACAGGGACAGCAACCAGCACGAGCTCAAGCAAGTTGAGCCCACAGCAGAAGCTTTTGACGGCTAGGGCGCAGCTACTGCTTGCCAAATGGCTTGATAGCGCCGGGCAGACGCATGCTGGTGCATTGCGTGAAAAATATCAGCAGCCACCCAAGACCTTCTCGACTTGGGAAAAGGGGCATTATTACCTTGGCCGTCATTACAAGAAGATCCTCGAAGCTGAAAAGCCGCTCAAAGCCGATGACCAGAGCGACAACTACATCACCGGTGAGGTCGCTAGACTCGTCATCGAGAACTATGTCCGCTCACTTAACTCGGGCACCAAATACCTTTACCAAACTCTCCCACGAATTTTGACTCTCTGGCTTGATCTTGGTGCCCAAGTAGACAGAGCACCAGAAGGGAAAGCATCGCTATCTCGCGAGCTCCACCGAAGACGCGTTGAGCAGCTCAATCTTCTGCATTCTTTTCTTGACAAATACATCCATAGGCTGCCGGCGTATATCTTTTACACAGCTTTGCCACAGATTGTTGCACGCATCGCTCACCCCAACTCGAATGTTTTCGACCGGCTGACACATATCATTGCCAAGGTTGTGGAAGCTCATCCTCGGCAAGCGCTTTGGAGCCTTATTGGCATCATGACGACAAGACAAGTGTCGGAGAGAAAGGCACGGGGCACTCAGATCCTTCAGACACTCAGGAACATATCGAAGAAAGTTGAGGGCTCTGCGACCGATTTCAAACACCTGCTCAGGATGGGAGAGAAATTAGCCGAACAGCTGCTTCTTGCGTGCCAAAACGGAGACTTCCGGGGCAACAAGACTGTCCATGCCAGCCTGGGTAGAGATCTTCGATTCAATCATAAATGTACTCCATGCCCGTTGGTCGTGCCTGTCGAGAGCTCTTTGACGGCAACGTTACCGGCTGTGTCAGAGTATGTTAAAAAACACAAGGCATTTTCTAGAGATGTTGTTACAATTGATTCCTTTCTGGATGATGTTCTCGTGCTGAGCTCGCTGGCTAAGCCAAGACGACTTACGACACGAGGTAGTGATGGCAAAAGTTACATGCTTCTCATCAAACCCAAGGATGACTTGCGAACTGACCAGCGTCTTATGGAATTCAACGGATTGATTAATCGATCATTGAAACGAGATGCCGAATCCAGCCGGCGACAGCTTTACATTCGAACATATGCCGTGACTCCGCTCAATGAAGAGTGCGGAATTATTGAATGGGTTCCGGGAATCAAGACTATGCGAGACATTCTCATTAACCTTTATGCTTCGCGAAAGATTTATCCCGACTACACCGTTCTTAAGCAACTCATGGATGAAGCATGTTTATCAGACGGCAAAACCAGGATCTTTACCGATGAGGTCCTGGGGAGATTCCCTCCGGTGCTTCAATTGTGGTTCACGCAACAGTTCCCTAATCCGTCCGCGTGGTTTACTGCACGTCTTAAGTACACACGGTCGTGTGCTGTCATGTCTATGGTAGGCACCATCCTAGGCCTTGGCGACAGGCATGGTGAGAATGTGAATTTGGAGGAGGGTAATGGTGGAGTGTTTCACGTCGATTTCAATTGTCTCTTTGACAAGGGTCTAACATTTGCCAAACCTGAAAGAGTGCCGTTCCGACTTACTCACAACATGGTGGCTGCGATGGGTATATACGGTTACGAAGGGCCATTTCGCAAGTCTTGCGAGCTGACTCTGAGCATTCTTCGTCAGCAAGAGGAGACTTTGATGACGATTCTAGAGGCGTTCATCTACGATCCAACGTTGGATCTGCAAAAGGAGAAACGAGCACATCGACGAGGAGATATGGGCATCAAGCTGCAGCCGCAGAGCGTTGTAGACAGTATCAAGCGTAAAGTTAGGGGTTTGCTTCCAACTGAGAGCATTCCTTTGGGCGTTGAAGGCCAGGTGGAGGAATTGATCAAACAGGCGGTTGATCCAAGAAATTTGGCTGCAATGTATATAGGCTGGTGTCCGTTTCTGTAAACCAGAACAAAGGGAGAAATGCGTGAAAAGGCATGTTATGGATAAAAGGTGAAGAAAAGTAGAATCGGTTCGCCTTTATGACAATTGGCCTTCAGTCACAGGATAAAATAGTAAAATCACAGGTCGTTCTGTTTGTTATTTTTTTATTTTTTTATTTCATTTTTTTTTTTTTCATTTTTTTTTTTTTCATTTTCTTTGTTGGTTTAGCAACGTTCGTACCTATTGGTTGTAACCTTCCATATCGTTTCAGGCGGAAAGCTGGGGAAGAAGGAGCCATGCGACTCTCGCATGCTGGGGACGCGTTGGCCGCGCGCACCGCACCGCACCGTACTTCCCCAATGCTTAGCTGGCAGCACTTCCCACCGTCACTCTTCACTCACTCATCTCACCTTATCGCACTTTGTCTGCTTGTTTTTAATTCACAGAGAGCACCAGAAGGAGCTTGTGTATATAATCTCTTGTTCGCTTTACGAAAAAGAGTTTTTTCCTAGCATCTTTCTTTCCATTATCCATTTTCTTTTCCCCACTTCCTTGCGCACGCGCAACGAGCTATCCAGCCAAAGCATTATTTGCATCCTTCATCTTTCTCATTCTACCACTCTATTCGACGCTCAATTTTTCGTAGCATACCTTCTACTACCCCTAAGATGGGTGAATATCGTATCGGTAAGGCGCCCAAAACTCCCCGTCTCTCACGAGCGCGTTACGCTGCAGCACCTGTATTGTCTGCTCTGTTGAGTAGTTCGCTCACGATATATTAGAGGTATCCCCCAACAACCGCGCCACTTGCAAGGACACTGAGTGCAAGAAGAACGGCGACAAAGTCACCAAGGGCACTCTGCGTTTTGGTAGCTGGGTCATCATCAATGAACATGGAAGTTGGTCATGGAAACATTGGTACGTATCTGTAACTCATCAGTTGTGCTGATAGTAGATGGCTGATACTAAGGTGCCTATCAGGGGCTGTGTCTCTGGTCAACAGCTAGAGAATGTCCGTGAACTATGCCAGCAACCTGATGGGTCCTTCGATTGTGACCTCATCGATGGGTACGATGAGCTTGGGTAAGTCATAGCCTCATTTTTATATCCACATTATTCTGACAGCGATAGCGAACACCCTGAGATTCAGGAGAAGGTCCGCCGCTGCGTCAATCAGGGCTTCATTGACCCTGAGGATTTCAAAGGGGTATGTATAGAGTTCTGTATCGCCAGTTACAGTGGTTAACTTCATCCAGGACCCCGAGAAGAACAAGCTTGGTGAGAAGGGCATTCATTTGACTGCAACACAGAAGAAGAAGAAGGCTGCCGCGGAGACTGTGAGTCCTGAATATTACTGCATACTGTTGATGATTCTAATACCTTTCAGGCGGCCGCAGAGGATGAAGAGAAGCCCAAGGCCAAGGGCAAGCGTGGACGCAAGAAGGCTGCCGACGAGGAGGACGAGGACGAGCCGCAGCCCAAGAAGGCTCGAACATCCAAGGCTTCTAAGGCGGATGAGGAGGAGAAGCCTGGTGCTAAGCCGGCCCGTGGCCGCAAAGCCGCAAAAGTCAAGGATGAGAGTGAGGATGAGACTGCTGCCTCTGCTCCTGCTCCTGCCAAGAGAGGACGCAGGGCTTCAGCTCAAAAGGTCAAGGATGAATCCGATGCTGAGGAGAAGCCTGTTCCTGCCAAGAGAGGACGCAGAGCTTCAGCTCAGAAGGTCAAGGATGAATCCGATGCTGAGGAGAAGCCTGTTCCTGCCAAGAGAGGACGCAGAGCTTCAGCTCAGGAGGTCAAGGACGAAAGCGATGATGAAGTTTCCGCTCCTGCTCCTGCTCCTGCTCCTGCCAAGCGAGGTCGCAAGGCAGCTGTTCCGAAGGTCGAGGAGGATGAAGAAAAGCCTGCTCCCGCCAAACGAGGACGAAAGGCTGCTACCAAGAAGGCGGCTACCCCTGAGGAAGATGTCGCTGTTGAGGAAGAGGAACAAGAGAAGCCTGCGCCAAGGACCAGAGCTCGCCGCGGCCGTCCCAGCAAAACTTGATTGAGGGTTTTATTTCCGACACCGGGTACGGCAAGTGCCTATATTGTGTAGATCGCAGGAAAGGTTGTGATAGTTTCATTTGTTGTCATTGTTGAGATCTTAGGGTCGGGTCACTGAAGCATGGGTTACACGTTGTTTGAGAACTCTTTGTGATTACTATGACTGATGGGTAAGGGTAATTTCGTGGAGGTGGACGGTTTAGCAATGCATACATGATACTCAGGGCAAGCAATAATTGAGTCGTTTGGGGTCTGTGACGTGTGCGGCTCTGACAAGATGTGGTCCCATCACCTAGGCAGAGTCTCTTGAGCCAATCATGGATTCTGGAACTCAATAGAATTGGTGGCAGAAGTCAGCAGATATGTATAAGGTACCGGTAGTGTATTTAGTAGATTCAGCTCCACCAAGTTCATATTCACATGAAACTAAAATAGCAACTGTGGATGGGCCATGATGCTGCCCAGGTGTCAGGTGCCAGGCTTCTTTCACTCAAATCCACCATGGAAACAGCCGACTATTTGGGCATTCCGGTGGATAATTTCATGCAGGTCCCATCAAGGAGCATTTGCTCAGCTCCCGTCAGGACAAGACGGGGGCTGGCCTGTGTTTGTTCCCCACAGACGGCGTGTTGCCGCTGCGGAGAGCGAGGGGCATAAACAGCATCCAGGGCATCCATCGTGATGACGTTGTTCAGAATGACGTCGTCGATTCATCACATCACGATGTTGAATCAGTGTCGACTACGAGGGGGTCCCGCACGATAAAATATAAATAAAGTTCTCTGCACTCAACAAAGATTTGCCTTCTTCATCTTCAAACATCACCCACATCCAGCCTATAAACACTCCAAACACTTCACCACCACAAATACATCACAATGCCTCGCAACGGAGACGGTTCTTCTGACAACGGCCCTTTTGAGGCTGCCGACCACAACATCGCCCACGGTGTTGGCAAGCCCGACGTAAGTTCAGTCAATAAAACCATCACATCGTTAGATTTGCGTTTGGCTAACTAATCTCCTCACTGCAGTCTGACCGTGTCGACCGCGCCGACAAGACCGCTGATCTCCCCGAGGGCAAGGACGAGCATGGCCAGGGTCTCCAGGATGCTCCCGCCAGCGGAGGTCAGAGCCAGGGCATCAAGCAGGGCAAGGATGTCGGACAGGGTAATTAGAAGCAGAGAGCTTGACATCTGAGAGGAAATGAGAGAGCAGAGGATGAAAGATACCTAATGACTGCATGGTAAAGTGAGTCATGACCACAACAAAATGAATACAAAGAAATGAACCACAACAGATGTTTGCGAGTTCCATGCCTGTGATGCTGTGATTGACGTGGGCGGATGAGTGATCTCACTGAGTCTGTAAGTCGTCCCCTGGCTATGGTGCTTCTGCAGATGCAAACTCTGAGTCTGGTCAAGTTTGTTACACACCAACAATGCTCTCGGCCAATTGAGTTTCGGATGGAGGAACCGTACTCCCAGAAAAGCCGAACCTAACATTGATCTGCAAGACATCGAGATCTTAGCCACTACAGATACCCCAGCGGGGAAGTTCGTTTTCGACCACAAGCTCGAGATATAATTCACAATAACAAACCGGTCTCCAACAACAAAACAATAAGCGGATCTTCAGGTCCTGTTCGTCGGTCTGGTGGTCTAGTGGTATGATTCTCGCTTAGGGAAAACCCTACAGCATAGCTTGCGAGAGGTCCCGGGTTCAATCCCCGGCCAGACCCTTAACTTTTGTTGTTTTATCATTGGGACCTACCTTTTGCTTCTATGTTGCTGCTACATGCTGCTTCATTGTTGTCTCGCTGATGCGATAGCCATCGTTCATTAATATAGCTTGGGTGGAGGCACAGTGTTTTAAGGATATTTATTTCACTGCTAGTCCTTGCTCTAATGTTAGCCAGCCTTGATTGTTTCATAACTCTGATTCATCGTCCTTTTTTTTTCAGGACCGGTGATGCTACTACAGTAGCTACCTTAGTTACATGTTCGGCATATTAACCATATTGAATCTGGCGCGTGACAAACTACACCTAAACTGGTGGAGTGAAGTTGATGGTTCCCTTTATGGATTAGAGTGTCTGCTAAAGGTGTGATTCGTCGAGCTTAAATCAGCCTTATTTAACAATTCCACTTCAGGTGAGCGGTGCCATGTGTGAGACTGCGGAAATAAAGGGATATGTCAGATGGTTGCCAAGGGGAAGTCCTACTGCATTAACTACCATGTAACTTAAACTCGGTCTCCCCCATGACACAAGCAATAGCAGGCCATAATGACCATCTTCGTGTCTTTATTTATAAGCCCCCTCGTTGCTATCAGTCTCCTCAGTGGGACCGTCGCTTTGACGTGCCTCTCTTGTTGTTTTTGCTCCCATCCCCCTTGTTCTTCTCTTTCTTGTCTTTGTGTACGCCTTGCTTTCTATCTTCTTTGTTACCCCTCCCGGTGTATCTCTTCGACATGCGGTGCGTTGACGATGAGGTCTTGTCATTGCCGTAAGACTATATACACGATCAGCAAGTTATCTCAAGGTATCGAATACTCGACTGGTTACTCACAGCAGCGGTATTATCCTGGGAGGTGCGAAAGTATTCACCTGGCTGTGCGTTGCTCTTCGGGGCAGGCCGACAGTCACAGTCGCAAGTGCAGCATGGACCGCCCGGATCACAGCCCCATTCAGATAAGGATTTCAAGCTTTCAGTCTCCCAACAGATATCAGGTCTGTCAAATATATGGCAAGTTCCGAATGTTTCTTCCTGATAGGTTTGGTAAAATTGGGTTTGAGTTGCGCCAATAAGATAAGGCATTCTGAGGCAATCGCCGATGTCTGCAATTCCCTGAGCCATGCTAAGTTGGATGATATCGTCAGTACAGCATTTTGCAGAAGACATAAGAGAAGAAAGAAAAACTGACTCAATAAAAGTATGTCTGGAAATTATTTACATTTGACATCATACTCTTGGCGGATCTCCTCTATATCTTCAACTTGATACCAAGAACAAGCACATATGCTGTACAACGATAAACATCTTTCTTGGATCAAAGAGCAGCTTGCCAAAATCCCATTGGTATATAATCGCAAAACGAATACTGCGACAGAAGACCAGAAGCTTGCTGCATTTAAAGTAGCTACCCTTTTGTGTTTTGATACAGCTCCCCGACCCCTAAACAAAGAAGCAAAATGCATATCCGTCGCCGATACTCTCCGTAGAACAATGCCCCATGCCCCCAGTGAAAGAAAAACGATAGCCAACCCGAAAATATGTACCAAACACCTGAGATATTGCGCCATCAAATGCTGCCTGTGAAAGGTGATACAACCACATTTGTTTGTTGCTTAACAAGTCGACCTGACGCAACTCCAAGTCGACTTCCAGTAGTTTTATGTCTTTTAGGATTGCTGGAATTGGGAATACCTGATATTGTTTGACTTCTTAGTGCGCTCCTTGAAGTTTATGGTGTGCTGGAGTTGGGTGCCCCTTCGCGGAGATTCCTCCTTAACTCAGCAATATCGTCCATGCCCTCAAGACTTCCCTTGCGGCCCCAATTCTTGGGCTTCCTTTTAAGGAACGCGCCAACTGCTCCCAGATAACCCTCATGACGAAGGAAATAAGCCTGCTTCTCCCCCTTACTCCAGAACTTGATGGCATAGCTTAATGTGTTAATGGTCTGACGGTGGCCTCTGATGAAGGAACCACCAAAATAAATGTTTGAGAGATTGTGAATTTGGGACTGCAGATAGGCGATCTGACCAATATTGTTTGAAATGGCGTAAAGAAGAGAACGTGAAACATCTGCACTGTTAAAGGATGCGTCTTCCGGTGTAGCAGATCTGCCATCTTCGGCTGCTGATTCGGCCTCTCTCTTCATACGAAAAACTTTGCCGAAAGATGAAGCGATTGTTGTGCTCTTGAGCCCTATCTTTCCATAGTCTGTTCCATAGATGTCGCCAACTAGCATATCGACGTTGGCGTTGTCACCGTGTGCGGCTTGTTCAAGCATCTCGTCAAAGGTTCGCGCGCCAGTCAGAAGAGACAAGAGACCCCAGAGAGTACCTCCACCAAGCGATGTACCTCCAACTCGCTGATATGATCGTGGTCCGGTAACTTTCAGGAACGAGACACCTGAGCCAATATTTACGAGCAGATAAGGATATATATTATCCTGTGGCACGACAAAGTGCATGGGGTCTGTTTCGGAATAGGTAAAAACCTCACGGGGGATCTCGGTAATAAAGAAGTCGAGTCCTAGAAAAACGGTCAGTTAAAGCGTCTTTGATAGCGATTAAAGTCCCTCACCAATGATGAGGCATTCCATCTCATCCTCTTGCGACACGTCCACTTCGAGTGCGGCTCGAATTTTGTCATAATACTTGTATGCGCCGCCACCCGTCGCCATTACACACAACTCTCCCGGTTGTGAGCCATTGACAAGTTGGTTATCACGCAGATGTCGCATAAACTCCACACAGTCATCAATGCGATCTGTTTCGAAGCTTTGAAAGTTCAGTCGGCCGCCGGGATCCGTAGAATCAACTTCGCGCGAGAAGTAAACGAGCTTTATAAGCGATCCGCCAATCTGCAATGACCCTCACCGCGTCAGCCATCGCTTCCCTCCTTGTGATTCAGAGCGGATATACGTACGTCAATCGCAATATGGCTCACAATCGCAGTGTGGTATGGTAACCTGATGTCGCTCGTCTCGGGGTGCGTCGGGCTCATTCGGCCGTTATGTGATGTGGCACCGCCCGCACTTGCGCCAGAGGCAGAGGCTGGCGTCGCCGTATCGGGGTCGACGATGAAAGCGCCTTTGACGTTGATTCGGACACTGCCAGGGCGGATAATGGTGCTGTCTATCTCGTCGGTCGACGTCATAGTACGGCGGCGCTTGTGGTCCAAAGGATGCGCCGGAGCTTGGAGTTCTTGCGCAATCGCATCTTCGTGTTCCGAAGCGGGAGTCATAGCGTGATTATGTCTCTCGTGCCACGCTCGATGGACGTTCGAGGGGATAGAGGGGGTAAATAGATAGTGGGGATGGTTCGAGTTGAAGGGCCTTGGAGCAGATTGCCAATACCCGCGCAAAGTTATTGCAGAGCCTGGATTATGATGATATATAGGAGGACGGCAATAAACTTGGCCGTATATTCGAAATATTAAATAGGGAGAAGAAGCAACGGGGGGAGATAGGCAATAAGGAGGTCAACTACCTTAACATATAATAAATCGCTGTGGAGGGGCTCTAATCGGATGGGGAGACTTGAATATTACAATGGGGTCGACCCTTTATCGATAGTGGTCGTTCATCATTTCAGTTCTCCAAAAGCCGGTGGGCCGAGGCTCCGGATTGCCTGGGGAAAGCTCCCCAGAAAATACAAGGAGTCAAAAGGTACGTATTCGCTCAACAAAGATACCTTACATGCGAAATTGGCTCCTTTCCTCCGACCTCTCGCCAATTGCACTCTCTGTTGAGAAGATCTACAATTGAATAGCGTCGCATTGGCTTCTCTTTACGCGCGTTCTTTTTCGGGGATTTTTTTTTTGCTCACGGTGAGATGCAATGCAAGTATTCTTACACCCGCATCATAATGCACGAGTTTGACAGTCCCGATGGCCCGGCTACGGAGGGGTCATGACTTGATGCCGAGCTTGGCTAAATTGCCGTCGGCTTTAGTAAACGGGACGGAGCGGCATTCAAGGCCACAGTCGTCAAGAGCGGTAGAGTTTTATGTTACCAACTATGGTGTCAATTATAAGCAATATCAATACTGTTTTGTACAAAGTTGCTCACAGTAAGATGTACTCGGGAATCTCCTGGACACTCCTCCCAAACGCCCACATCCACAAACAAACTGGGTATCCGCAGCTGAGACCAAGGTAAAGGTCAATATGAGAAATTCAAAGGAATGCATTAAAACATGGCCATGGGGCAGTGTAGCCCCTTTGCCATGACAGGAACAACACGAAGCTCTTCGAGCGATCAAAAGAAATGGCCTCCCGGAACAGCAACAAAGATAGCTGTAATGATGCCGCCCAGGAGAACTGAAGCGAGTATCGCCTGAATGAAGATGGTGTCTTGTATCTGTCGCAAGGCCGGCTCCTGAATCCAGACCTCGCGGTCAAACACTTTGCGGACAACATTGCGTTTCTCGTACTTGACGACCCAAGGTTCATCCTCGTAGCTGTTCTTGGACCCGAACGAGTCAAAACTCTGCTTCTGCGCATCTTCCATGTTCTCGCTGTCCACAAACAGCTCCCATGGCCTGACATGGCGGTGATGCATCCCATGCAGAACGACACACATGCCCTTATAGGCCGCAACAAGTGTGCTTATGCCAAGAACGAGGGCTATGGCTGCCAATGCCCGGTATCCTCGACCAGCGTTGCTTAGGGTGAGAATGAGCCCAACAATGATGCCTGCGGCAATGAGTCCAACACCCAGTGAGCGAGCGAAGAACACGCGGGCAGGGTTTCCATTGCAGATTGACCATCGGATGAAGTTGGGATGAGCTTGGTGCCGAAGGCTTGAATCAACAGTCTTGAAGACGCTTCGAAAAGCGCTGGGATGAGTTGTCTTGGAGAGCGCTACAATAACCGCCTTCTGTTCAGAAGAGGATAGATTCAGTTGCCGAGGTGCACCTTCCATTATATATGTTGAGATCATTCTGTTAATCTCTTCTCGAAATGGCTGGATCGTGACTGATAAGGGGTCAGCGGTTCAGCAGTCGTTCCAAGAGCGGGATAATCGACTTACAAGGCTGTTGCGCACCAGCCATTTTGAAAGCGTCAGACGCTTGGCTCTGATGACTCATTGCATTGAGTGAGTTCATTGTGCAAGAGGCCGTATAAATCGAGGATTCGTCCCCTCTGCTGCTTTGAGGGGGTGTTGCGAAGGGATCAACAGTGCTCATGTTCCGGTCCTGGCTGCCGGTCTTCTTCTCAAAGTCGCTACCTTTGAAGATGGCCGCTGCCTCAGGCTCTTTTCGCATCTTATCTGATTGTTCTTTACGAATCTTGATAATAGCTTCGTCCTGCATAGCCCTAGTCCACTCAGGGGCGAGCTTGACGTCTGTGGTTGGATTCGCATTAAAGCGCTTCTCATAGTCCTGGAACCAGAGATAGAACTGGAGATTCTCGGCAGCATGTTCCACGTAGATGAGGTAGGTCATGAAATCACGGACAGTCATAGGCTTGATGCCCAGTTAGTAAGCTGCTTTGTGGTGAATTCAAGAAATAAACTCTTTACTAACAGGGCATGTGCCACCACTAATGATCCTGTCAAAGGACAGCGAGTCTGGTATTCCAGTGGAGGAGCGAGAAGAGCTGGAATCATCCGTGGCATCGGATTTTTCCGCGTCGGACAGCGAGTCGCTGCTCGTGCTGTTGAGGAATGATTGATGGCTCACATGCTTTGGGCGCGTGTAAGTGAGCGAAAGAAGACCCATGCTGAATGGGATAAGATGAAAACTAGTGGGAGATTCAATGAGTGATGAGAAGGGAAAAAAGGACTCGACGACTGCAGATGGCCTATAAGTCACACAACGCTTCCAAAGGCGAGGGGATAGTGTGTGGTTTAAATAACTTCATGGGGGAGGATGACATCTTAGCGTAGAAGAAGACTCTTGGTCGTCATGGATAGCCTGTGGCGGGCTAAGAGGCAAACACAAGTGACAAATCGTCCAGGGGGGACCAGGAAATCGGGGCACCACGATACCCAAATACGTTGGATTCCCAGACAAGCCTTATTAACGTAGAAGACCGCCTACCAGTAAGAATAGCCCTGAGCGTCCTGTAAGGGGAAGCATAGCTGGCCATCTCAGAAAGCCACCAGCAATGAACTTTGCTGCCCATAAACTTAATCCCTTTTTGGGATAGCCATGGCCTGCGATTCCCGTAGCCTCTCCAGGAACACGGACGGTACGCACCACAACCGCTAGGAAATCAGGGAAGACCGTAGGCGGCTGAATGGGTTGCACAACGTCTTCGACCTGTTCAGCTCGCCCACCTTTCGCATTGACCTCCAAGTTATCGAGTTACCATCACACCAACATGTTGGCTGAAACTTGGACGACTACTTTGTAGGTATGAGCGCAAGAGTCGCATAAACAGCTCATTAAAAAGGCCCATTCAGCTTCAGCCGAAGTTTTCTTCTTGGTAATCATGTAAGTAGATCGGATGAACTTCCGAAGCAAGGATGAGCCTGGCACTTGATTTTCGGTTAGTAGATCTTAGTGGGCGCCTGGACTTCACATACGATCCAGAAGATCTTACTGGCGGCGGAGGATCAGGTCCAAAAAGACATGGTCGACGGTCTGAAGTCACACTTAGGTTAGGTGTGGCTTCGCACAAACACTGGGCCTAAGCCAGCCCAGATTACTGGGAGAAGAAGCGGATTGTTCTCGGCTTGTATCCTTCTCTGCTAATTTAGGTACCTAACTATGCCTTTGTCCGCCAGAAAGGGCATAGAGTGAGCGGCAGGTATCCTTGCCGCCTCTCTGATCACTAAGGTGAGGAATGTGTAACTGAAGTTTCTTGCTTGCGGCTGGCGCTAGAACCATGATCATCGGACAACCCGTGAAAACGGTCAATGCCATTGACATCAAGGATCTTTTGTGAAGCACATCTGGGCAGGAGTAGCCTGAACAACGTCGAGGGCTAGTCCTGAGCTAACCAAAGCCAACAGAATTGGATAGCTTTAGTGGCCCACTTACGAGACGCGCAATGAAATTTGACAAGTCAATTCCAGCTGCCCCTAGCTTCAGTTGAAAGATCGCTGCTAAATGAAGTGTCCCGCCCCTGGCCCCTGTTCCTTGTCGCCGAGTTTTCGGTAATCTAGGCAAACATAGCCTAAACGAGCGTTTCTCCGAGATGGCTGCGATTATTCAATGTATGCGAGAATAATGTCTTGGAATGTAATGAGACATACTTGCTTGTTGAAGACTGCAGGCTTTTTATTCAATTGAAACTCGAGCCTATCAACCATGACTTTCAATTGCGGCACGTTTGAAGTTGTCTAGCTTGCAACAAGCTAATCTTGGTACTTGGCAACTGTGAATTCATCCCTTGCTGCTGCAATAATGACGCACAGGAAACAGAATGTTGCTAATGGAGGGTAGTTTGGGTGCGTGCATGAATTTATTGATACCGTGATACTTGCCCGTCCTTGCCCTGAAAATGATAGGTCATGCAATTGCTTTTCTCACTCGTAATTCTAATTTTTAAGAAGGCATCATGCCGTGCAGGCTGGATGTTCAGTCTCACATTGCTCGTGTGGCATATGCCGTATATGGTACAACCTTGTTAGGTGCTATATTCTCGCGGGAAAGGAGCTGTTTGAAGTTCTAGCTGAACCATTCAGTGTATGTGGTTTATATGATTTAAATTATATCCATGTTCGCCCCAAGCTAGCTAGGAAACACTTCCATAACAATAAGTTTCAAATGACTTGGATTCATAGGTTGTTTGTCGGGTAGAATTCGTTGCTCTTTCTTATGGAATACGTTAACAAGTCGGGATGCTTTCTTTAGCATCCATGTTCCAGCCACCAAATTTTGTCAATGTAAGAGAATTGAACTATTGATAGATGTAAGGATTGTTGAACCCGGTCCCTCAGCTACCCATAATATGCATCATGGGCCTTTGTCATCTCTTCAGAGAGCCCTCCCTGCTGGGCATGCTCTCCCCTCAAGTGTTGTCGACCCTCCCAAAACCTCTCCCTATCTCCCAGTATTTCATTTGCCCATGCCTTTCCAGCTTCAGTTCGTAACTTCCGCGCAACTCCCATGAACTCGCCCAGATCTTTTTCACTCTTGCTCTCCCTTTCGTACTCCACTGCTTGTAGAAGGAGCTCGATTTTGTCAATATCCTGGGCAAACTGAGCCTCCGGAGTTTCACCAGCTTCGAATTCATGCCATAGTTTCTCAATCTCGGCAGTGTAAGGTCCAGACCAGCGATTAGCAATGTACGCGATGGTTGAGGCCTCTCTTCTACCCTTTTCGGTCCTGGAAACACCGCTGAAAGGGGTAATATCGCCCACGACAGATTCCGCAATGTCGTGAACAAGGCACATCTTCATGCACTTGGCTTGATCAAGTTCCTGGGGTGCAAACATTGCTATCATGCCCATTCGATAAGAATGATCCGCCACCGACTCGGGACTGGGAAGTTGTGAGCCCCTCGGTAAGCGATACTCACAAACAGCACGCAACCTACGCGATTTCATGTCTCTTCCAGCCTTCACGCTTCGTTGTCTTGAGAGCGCCAAGAAGGTGAAAAAAGGAGATCGGTGAATCTGATATATGGACCAGGTCATTGCGACTCAAGGCTTTCTCGACTGTCCATGCTTCGCCGGTCTCTAATCATTGGTCGTCAGTACCACTTCGTATGTAGAAAAGATGTGTATACCTGAGCCGGCTTCTGGTCGCTCTGAACTTGCTCCAGGCATTTTGTTTGATGTCTGGTGATATTTAGGGTTTGCTTATAACGGGAAGAATATCAGATATCGACGTCGTTGGTTCCTGCAAGTCGTGTTCCCCCGCTCCGGGACACTTCGGTCCGTGTGCCAATGAATGTTGAACTGGGCAAGCATCTGAATCTTCTGGTCGACTGGCAATCAGCAGGTAGGTAGAGCATGTTTTTCATTGGGCATAAATAAACGACAAAAGCAAGTGATCGAACGATTGCAGATTTCTATGACTGGGCATCAGGCAGTGAATTCCGTCCGTACTGGACTCATTATTTATAACTTTGTGCTGATCTACACACTACCCCTTATAATCACCATGCGACCAGGCGATATTCTACATAACTATGAGAAGACGAAAGAGAATAACAAAAGAGAATGGGTTGAGTAATTGTCATAAGTTGTCCATTTGACTGGGAGGGTACAAGGTAACAAAAACAAGAGCTCAGGTCCAGGGTAATAGCCCAGTCGACCCAACATCACTGGTAGGTTTACAGCTTATAACCGTTATCGCAGCCGTTCGGGATGATATGAATATTGAACATACTATTCATTTAGTAGTTTGCCGACAATGGCGTCGAGCATTGGAGTCTCAAAATATTTCAGGTTGTTTGATTCCATTTAGGTAACTGTCGTGGTTATGTTTTGGGATGTTCCAGCAGCTAGTTCCAACGCAACTAGTCTTGCTTGTCCATCAGCAAAAGCAGCATGTTCCTCATGTGATACTGGCCTGATATAGTAGTTTGAGTGGAAGTTGATTACTCTCATTCCTAGATGCAATGCTACGCGTGGCTTTGCGCCTTCCGATTGACTTAGGTATCGGCTGAGATGCTTAATATAGTTGAGCAAAACATATTCGCAGAAAACTCTATACATGGCTCACATCACATAAGGCTGATGGTTTCACTACCAAACAAGTCAACCGATGTCGTGGCTATGAGTTGACGGTCATCCACAAAGCGATACCTATGCTTTATGACGGGCTACACATATACATGGATCCATACCTACGTAATGTACCCAACCATACCAGGACTCATCAGTATGGTTTGACAGCTGGGTGACTTTTAGTGACACGAAAGAGTCTCATCCGCATCACAAAAGGAAACACACGCCTTGGGTTGTAGGTTTGGATATCATTCAGTAATCAAGTATTGTTTAACTTAATCACCGTTGTGTGGCCATTTGGAATCATGATATGCAACCACCTGAACTCTCTATTGATTATCATGTTTCTGATGTTGATAATCTTATCAGATTCTGAATTGGATGACGAATGTTGCGCCGACTGGCATCTCGCTTGCCGAAGCTGGCGCCGAGCCTCATTTGACAACATCGTGAAGGTGGACATCTCAAGGATGTGTCATGGTTAGAGAACTGAACATGTGTCGAGGTTCTCATTCATACCTAGACCCTCAGGGAGCAAGAAAGCTTCTGATATTTAATAAGAGTGCCAAAAATAACTAGTCTAAGAACCCACTAAGTTATATAAAATTTACCTAAATCTTTTTGTCGCTTAGGATAAAGGTCCAAAGTTTTCTTGCCTCCCCTACCTTAACTAGAGCACTGACTTTTTAACATCCATGATTCCAAATGGACCCCTGGGAAGAACCAGGTCTCTATCAAGGTGCTGCGTGTCTCAATACCAGTGCGGCATGAGCGGCCGATAGCGGTTCCACCGTGGCCGCGTCGAACGCGCCGACCGCTTTCCGAGGATCCCCACAGGTCTTCACTGACCTCATCGGTGACCCTCTTTACGCCAATGCCGTTTGATTCTCCGATTGACCTCCGAAAGGCTGAGAAGAACGGCGGGGTAGCGAGTCGTAGGCTGCCTACCAAGGGAAAGAGCGGCACTGTCAACATGTGGAAGGCAAGGACGATATAACTTCTATAGATTCCCTCGAAACTGGGTGTGATTCATTCTCTCTTCCTCACACTTCGATACACATCTTCTTCTGCCCCTGGTCCCAACCTACACCCACACACACAGAAATCCTCTTAAATAAAGTCAAAATGTCTGAGCTCAAGGCCGGTGATAACTTCCCAGAGGGTGTCTGGTTCAGCTATATCCCTCCCTCGCCTGAAACCTCCGAGTTCACTACATGTGGTACACCTGTTCCTTTCAACGCCAGCCAAGGTATGTGATCTCACATTCAAGTCTCGTCGCATTCGAGCATACTGACGCCTCGTAATACAGAATTCAAGAACAAGAAGGTCGTTCTTGTCTCTATCCCAGGTGCTTTCACCCCTACTTGCTCCGGCTCTCACATTCCTTCCTACTTGGAACACGTCGATAAGATCAAGGCCAAGGGTGTTGATCAGGTCATTGTCATTGCTGTCAATGACCCCTTTGTCATGAGCGGCTGGGCCAAGGCCAACGGTGTCACCGACGACAAGATCGTGAGTCTCTCTAATTCAACAAGACAGCATCACAAGATTAACCTGACCAGCTCTTCATGTCTGACAAGGATGCTAAGTTCTCCCAAACCATTGGCTGGAATATCGGTGAGCGAACTGGACGCTTTGCGATTATTGTCGACCAAGGCAAGGTCGTGTACGCTGCAAGGGATGAGGAGCCTGGAAGCATTGAGAAGTCTGGTGCCCTGGGTGTCCTGGCCCAGCTGTAACTGATGTTGCATTGCAATGCGTAAAGGGATAGAATAGACATGAGCATGAAAGATGATAGACTAAAGACGGACTCAATTTGAAACAACTGAACATTATCTCGGTTTGGAACCTTTCTTGTGAAGCCTGTTCTTTTATCATAAGGCATTGTGTCGTAAAATCTACCAAAACATATTGCTAGTGCCCTGATCGACGCCATGACTTATTTACCTAGCCACCATACGATTGTACAACCCATGTTTGTCACGGCACGAAAAAGATGCGGTTTTTGTTTGACCATTTTGCATTGCTCAGCTATCAATGCACCCTATTGGCAATCCATGCACCCGAGATTGTAGAAGAACCGGCCGGACAAAGACACAAGAACCACGGACTCCACTCTCCCATTTTCATCCTCCCTCAAAGTCCATTCCTAACTTAACGGGTCTTGGCCTGAACCTTGGGGGCAGAGCCCTTGGCACCCTGCTTGCTGACTTGTCGGACAGCCTGGCCCTTGGAGGCCAAGGCAGCGAGCTTAGCCTTCTCGGACTTCTTGGCAGCAGCGTCGGCCTGCTTCTTCTCCTTGCTCTCCTTAATGGCCTGGGCTCGGGCAGCGGAACGGGCCTCGGGTCGGATGTTGCGCTTCTCCTTGATCACGTCGAGAGAAGCACCAACGATGCCTCGCTGGGCCTTGACAGTGCGGCGGGTTCGCTTCTTGGCAACCTCCTGTAGAATGTGTCAGCTCCGTTGAATGGTGGCAATCGACAGCACATCAACAGCAGTGATTGAGTTTGTGGATGCTGCTGAAGTTTGGGAGATTCATACCTCAGAGATACCCTTGCGGTGCTGTCGGCGGTAGAGGACGGTCCATGCGATACGGCGGGGGTTCTTCCTTTGCAGGAAGAGAGACTCCGACTTGCCGTTCTGGAATCGGAAGATCTTGCTGTCGCCACGGACGTAGAGCTTACCCTGTGAAGCGATACCCGTTAGCCTTTTGATGTCCTGTTTTAAATCACACCGAGTGCTCGTCCTGCGATCCGTCATCGTCATCATTCCTTTCCAGCGACTAGAGAGTTTCGCATTTCGATAATCGACCGGATCGCATCAACGAGACGGATGGGATAATGGCGGAAGGAGCGTACCTTGCCAGGGTAGATTCTCGCGCCGGAGAAGGTGTCCTCGTAGGTTCGCATCTTGTCGCTGGTTGTGCGTTGAAGGCGACAAGGTGTTGTGTAGTTGACCGTGGATTGGCGATGGCAAATGGAAAGTTGAGGGTCGTGACTGCAGTCAATTTCTCGAATTGTGTGCCAACTGACTAAGCGATCTAGGGCAGGCGAGACGCTAAGTTTGGTGGGTGATAAACCATCACGTGCAGCTGCGCACCCACCCTGATCGGAGAATCATCGGTAGCTGTCATGAGCCTCCTCGACCACTTACACCACCATGATACCGATATACGACAAAAGTCTTTAGTCTTGACCCTTGGCTATTGTATCCAGGCTTTGGATAGATTGAATATGGCTAGATGACGTCTCAGGCGGATCTGGTGGCAGAAGCAGTATTGCAACAATTTTGCAAATTACCTGCGAAACGAAAACCTGCTGTTCGCGACAATGGCATTCATGAATGGGTTCCGCTGAGTGGCATCGTCGCTGAGGAAAATGGCATTCTAACATGTGTAGCCCTGGCGTAAGCACATTTAACTCCCATGTACTAGTCTGCGTATTCTAAAACTGGTTATTGTAGAACTGGCATGAAATGCCTTCCGGCGTCAAAAATATTACAATCCAATGGTGTGGGCATCCATGACTGGCACGCCGAGGTCCTGGCTATGCGGACTTTTAATCGTTTCTTACTCGATGAATGCGCGAATATCCTTGAGAAAGATGACGAGTCGAGTATTCTGCAGAGGAAGACGAGCGCTTCCAATCTTGACGACCTCCCTTTGCAGTTGTTCAAGATCAAAGATGGCGTCAAGCTGCACATGTACTGCTCAGAAGCACCATGTAAGTAATTTAAAATGAAAATACTACTTTTACTGAAGCAAGCAGGTGGTGATGCTAGTATGGAGCTCACAATGGCTGCTCAAGAAGATGCTTCAACATGGGAAAACCCAACTCCTATAAATACAAAGCCTGGAGCTAATGCACATATCTCTTTGCTAGGAAGGGCTTGCTTCTCTAGGACTGGAATTGTTCGACGAAAACCTGCTCGAGGGGATGCACCTCCAACGTTATCGAAGTCTTGCTCTGACAAACTTGCGTTGAAACAATGTGCTTCGCTTCTCTCAGCTATCACATCAATCTTCATCGATCCTACCAACGCATACATCAGCAGCATCGTTTTGCCAAGATCCCAATACTCTGATCTTGCATGTCAACGTGCCTTTTCAGCAAAAGGCAGGATGAACCTCATGAACGGCAAAAAGTGGCTGGGAGGCTATTCATTTAGGGAGTTTTCAGTTGCGACGACGGGCCTGGAATTCGAATTTTCGAAAAGGTCTGTACAGACAAGGGCCGACAAGATTTCAGCAAGCAACCTAGCAGCAACATGGTCACGATCAGGCTTCGAAGAGAACATCATTGGAGGAGTTATTCAAGGCCGGAAGGCTTTCAGAACAGACGGAGCAAGTCGAGTATCCAAGCGTTGTATGTGGGAGGCAGCAAACGACCTTGCTAGTAGGATCAGTGACGCTCCCTCTTCCACTACGAGCTCTCTAGGTGGTGATACGTATCGCCACTTAAAAGAGGGACAGTTGATGGCTCATAGACGGCAAGTTAAGGACGAGGCCCGTGAGACGGCACTGTCAGGGTGGATCAGGAATGACGAAGGGTCAGATTTCCAACTAGAAAAACGTAGCAATCATTGACATCATTAGAGATTGGTATTTCTCCCGATGTAAGTCGTATTTTTGTTTGTTTGTACAGATCAATCAACCTCAGCCAGCATAAGGTCGCCATTTCACCGCGACATTCCCAAGCTGTGACCTTTTGCGTACCCGTACCTACTCCTCTGCTACTCAACATAGAGAGCGGGGGAGTGACTGTTACGACTGCCCAATACCAGGGGGAAACAGAAAACCCGCCTCGTAGGAGAAACTAGCCAGCCTCTTGGCCGAATAGACCTACGATTTCACTACCCCTTCGCCCTTGACTGTGTAGAGGAACTTTACTCGACCTTGGGCTCGTTCTCGAAGTTCTCGCCCTCGACCAGGTCGGGAATCTCGTCATCGTCCTCACCCTTCTCCTTCTGGAGGTTCTGGTAGCTCTCGGCGAGCTTGCGCAGAGAAGCAAGGGAGTCGGGGCCGAGCTGGTTGAGGATACCGGGGACAAGCTCGGTGAGCTCCTTGTCCTCACCGTTACCATAGATGGCAAAGGTGTTGGAAGGAACAGCAGCGTGAACTGTTGGAGTGGAAAGAGAATGTCAATATATACCAAGCCCCACGAACCATGACAGAGTAGGATGACTAACCCTTGGGAGCAGCGAAGTGGATGACGTTTCCGTCCTGCTTGAACATGTTGACCTCCTCGATAGCCTGGATGGGCTGGGTGTTCAGCTTCTTGAGGGCGAGCTGAAGCTTCTTGTCGTCAGCGCCGGAGCGGGCGGGCGCACGCTTGACCTTTCGTCGAGGAGTACCCTTTCCACTGAGTCGTTCCGTTAGCAGCGATAACTGAAGGCGACAGCCTATAAGCGTCGTAATGCGCGAACATACCCTAAATTATAAATCAGTCTACTGCTCTCGCCCCGGATTTAATTGTAAAAGTGCGCAAAAGTCACGTACCAGTTCGGGCGCTCAGGCCGAGCTTCTTGAGGCGTTCTTGGACTTCGGCGGACGACATGATGGGCGAAATTCGATTGCGGGGGATCGGGGGACTCGATCGAAACTGGGACAAAACTCGTCAGTCGGGGCGGTTTCGGACGGGATAAATCGATTGTTGGAAGAAATGTTGCTCGGAAATTCGTGCATGCGTGGGTTCGGCAACGTACCAGTAAGTTAGGCTTGGGTAATTAGCTGTTTGTCGCCGTCGGCTTCGAATCGGTGGTGATAAGTCAAAGTAGATTTTGTGCGTGCCAAGAGTTTTCGCCTGTGGAACTACCATTTCGCCGAGGAAGAGGAGGGGCTCTGGTGGTGCTCCGCCCTTCACTGGCCTGGCACCATCGCCCGTGACGTTGTAGCCGCCTCCAGCCAGGCTCGTGGGGTAAGTCAAGAATATTGCCCGCACAAGCAATGTCATTTGATGTCGAGCTCTTGAGATGCTTTATATACTTAATGGAGTGAAATGTCTGTAATGAACGCATGTAATGTTCAACTTCACCTATCGGGTTCTGTCGGGTAAAGTTACTATGTACTATGTTGGCTCACATTCATCGATTCCTTCCTCCATTGTTTCGACGAAATGACGATTCGGATAGTCGCTCGATTAATAAACTGGAGGTATCGATGGCCATTTCAGGACATTTTATGTAATGAAGGAGGATCTCATCTTGGTCTTTGAGTGAAAGCATTTGAATATTGGTTCCAAGAACTCCAAAGAATTTACTCACCCCTGTAACTAAGGTAGGTACCTAGTTTCCTATGTGATTCAGCTGTTATACATGAGCCGTCCTTCACAATACTACATAATCTTACAAGCATAAAAGGCATTCAGTTCAGGTGGCCATCGACGGCTTTATTTTGCGTCAAGGCCTGCCTCTCTCCTCATCTCTTCTCGTCGAGTATCTGTCTCCTTCTGAGACGCTTTCGCGGCAGCAGCGGCGGCCTTGCGCTTTCGCTCCTCTTCCTCCTTCACAACAATCCAAACTATCCCAGGTTAGTAATTGATACTTTAAAGACTAGACAAACACACTTGGTTTATCCGACTTGGAGTATTCCTTCAGGCGAGTCACAAAGTCGTCAAACTCTTGTTGCCGCTCCTCACGGTTCTCCAAACTCTTCTTCCGCAACTCGGGGTTGTATCTCGATCGAAGCTCTTCCTCAGTAGGAGTTAACCACATAGTAAAGGCTGGTCCGCCGACTGCAACAACAGCGCCACTGCAATATATGAGCTTGGTCTTTAACAGGCTATGGTGATAACAAAGACTTACCCCATCAGGACCTTGGTCCAGAACCACCATCTTGAAGATGGTTGTTTGGCGGCCATTGCAATAGGGGAGGAAGGACTAGGGTACAGAATTTGAAGTTGTGGAGTGTAATAAGAAGACTATGTAGTTGTTTTTTGAACTGGCATCAATTCTTCCAATGATGATTTTCACGATTCTGCATCCGTCATTGATTTGGCAGTATGCCCTCATTGGTAGGTCCAATCGGGAAGGCGGTCGCGGAGCTGAGCATGACCCGAACCCGACTTTGTTACCTTGGGTCACGAGCATTTAGCAACGGTTCCTTAACATTGATAAGAGGCTAGTATTTTCTGAAATTAGGGGCTATAGGTAGCCGTTACTCTTTGTGATATTTCTAACGTAGTATATCAGAAGCCAAAATATGTGATATTCAATCTGCATGCAGATCGTCGGTTGTGAATAGAGCAAATAGCTCATCATAGGGCAGCCATGTTCAAAGCAAAAGTTGCTAGGCCGACCACCCACACGGTTCAAGAGCCAAGGTATTGTTTCAGCTTCCCACAGCATGGAATTTTCCTTTCGTGTTGAACAAGGAGCTGAGAGGTGGCAATACCCGTCTTCCCAAAAAAAGACGCTTCATGGCTTCTGACTGGTTGACATTTGAAGTCAGCTCGGACACTTCCTTGACGAATGGCGTATCAGGAATCGAATTGGTAGATGAATGAACCTCCGGCTTCGTCGGATCTACAAGTTCGCTCCGAACATTTGTCTCACGGCCTGGCATTTAACTGTATCCATTTTAATAATGTTCTCATGGCATAACCCACAGCCTCTTGACGTCAATACATCAGAGGGCTAAGCGCGAGCATGGGACAATTACCGTAACGTTTCCCTCCAACCTAGCGCCGATTAACCGCCACAAGTCCTGTCAAATTCGGGAGCGCCATGAAAACCGTTCGTTGATAGGAAACCATAGCTCTTGGCCAGATCCACAGATGATGTTATGCGAGGCACCGTGCTTAGGGCTATCAGGGGTGTAAGAAAAGTAGATACAGCATCTACTTAGAGAGAGGGTGAAAACAAGATGGCCCTCGGGCTGTTTTATTGATTTGTTTCGACTTTTGAGGCCAGTGTTTTTCAGCTAAGAGCCTATTGTGCAAGCTTATTCGAGGAATGAGTGATTAATCCAATCCTTGGGGAGCAAACAACGCCAGCGAGGTACTCCGTATGACGACGAGCATTGTGATACAAAACAAAGCTTTGTGTGAAGCAAGCAATAATACCCAGACCCTGCAGGATAAGTCATCGCCTGAAGACGGGAAGTCGGGCCAGTAAAATCGATCAACGTCGCCGTTAATTAACAGGGGTTGGGTTGAGCCACAATCAGTTATGCATATGCCTGTTGGCGATTGTAAGCCAAGCCGGCAGCGGCGAAGCGCCATGTCTTTCGATTCTTCGAATCATTGGAATGGCGAATGGGTAGCCTAGTGGGAAAACTCCGTGGAAGGAGCAGCGAGGCTTGGGTTTGCCATCATTGACTGTGCGGGTATTGACTCGTAAAGAGTCGTTGCCAGTTCGTGACGGCATTCCTCCATTCCATTAAGCGCTTCACTTCTCCGGGACCTCCTTGATGCCGAGTCGCTTATTTCTTTTGAGGCAGAGCCAAAACTTCTAAGAGAACAGCATTATTAAGGCCTAGAGCCCTACAATACAGGCATTGATCCCCCTTTTGCCCTCCAGTCTCACAATTTTATCCCAGACGACAGGGGTTGGGGTTCAAGTAAGGTACCACCCGCATGCAGACTGGTACCTGGGCATCCCCACTCAGAGTAATTCAGAAAACGGCCCTAAACGATAAGCCACTGTAGATTTAGCGCTTTTGCTCCACAAGCTTCCATTGAAGAACAACTGGACCTGGCTGAATGGATGGAAACCACATGCACTTGGGGGCAGGTCACGTTGGAGGTTGGAGGCAACCTGACCTGCCTTTTCATGGATACCTTGAGCTCTTCCGTTTCGGATGAACCAAGCATAAAGGGTATCCCCCCTCCGCTTGCAATCTGCACCGCTTGAAAGGCACTATTACTTGTCCTCAAATGACCACTCCTTCGAACTGAGGTTGTTCGACATTCCTTTTGCGCCATCTCTGGCCACTCGTCGTTTCCAGTTTCCTGTATCGCAAACGAACTCAGTCTCTTTGCCAGCTTGTCACCATATTTTGCTTGTTATCTGCAGACTCGAGGGCGTAATTATCCTTCTCTCATTATTCGTCAGTCTTTTTTGGGCTGGGATCGTCGACAACTTGCCATCCTTTCTCTTGCAGTAGTTCTACGATCTGGACCGCCGATCACACACTTATTGGAAACCACAGTTGCTGAGGCTGCGGCACGCCATGCGACAGTGATTGAAACAGATTCTACGCCGACCGATACTTAGAGCCTACAGCTTCTTTTAATTTCTGGGTCGGCAACCGTTTACACTATACGACAATCCAAACTCAAAGCTTATTTGTGTCGTCAACGGTCGAACCGCACTCATGGCATACGAAGGAGGCTATGGTGGCCAACAGCGACCTTACGGGGGTCAAGTACCACCCAGCCATGCCCCGCGACAACAAGGCAATGCGCCGCCACAACAATATGGAGCACCGCAACAGTACGACGAGTATCAACAAGACTATGGATATGGCGATTACAATGGAAGCTCTGGACAGGATTTTGGTGGTCAATATCAAGATCAGAATTATGGTAGAGGGCCGCCGCCACCACAAGACCAATATGGCCGAGGTGGAAGCGTGATGCCTGGTCCTCGCGGAGGGCCCATTCCTCGTCCACAGACAGCTGATCCGCATCGTGGGCAGCAGCGCCCTCCTCGAGGAGGCCCAATGCCAGGACCAGGTAGAGGCATGCCAAATGGGCATCCTGGGCAGGGCGGAATGCGCCCAGGACCATATGCATCGAATTCGGATCCCACAGGTGAGTTTCAACCCGGATGTTAGGGCACTCAGCTTACAATCCTGTCCAAAGCCCGGCGCCATCCTATGAACACACCTCCTATGAGTCCTCGGGACGGGCATTTCGGACACAAGCACGTACCACAAGAACGTGGACGGAGGCCGGACATCGCTTATGAGCAACAGATGGTTGATCAAATGTCGAATATGGATATGAACCAGAGGCCAATGGTGCCAACGAATGGACGTACAAGTTCCGATGCCCAGCGCAGCCAGGGTGAATATGGACGACCACCAGTAAATGCGGGTCGCGGACCACCTCCAAGAGGTTATCCCCAAGGAGGCCCTCCGCGACAGAACCCTGGCTACGGAGCTCCAGGTGGTTATGGAAATTATAACGATGGATATAATGGTGCTCGAGAGCCTTCCGCAGGTGGCTTTGGCCCACCGGCACGAAGCAGAACGATGCCTGTGGATGACATGCGACAAGGAGGCAATATGCCACCGCCTCAACGGATGGACGCAATGCAATATAGTACCCCCGCTGGTCGAGGGATACCGCAAAGACCTTCGACTGCTGGCGGTCACCGGGCACCTCCCCAACGGTCGTACACAGCTGGGCCACAAGGAGGCCCGCGAGGTCATTACAATGGGGAGTATGATGACCGAAATGCATACCATAAACCATCAACAGCTTCTTATGACGAAGTTTACGATGCTTATTTTGACAATCAACGCAACAGCAACCCTGAATACGGACCAGAATCCCAGCACAACCGAGTCAGCCTACCAGACTTCGATGCTGCACCAGCTCCAGGGCAACGTAATTCGTTCGAACAGTCAATGCGCCCTAACAATGAACAGCCTCAGCGAGGAGCCCACCAAACAGCGGTCCTCAATCACGCCAAGTCACAACCAGTCCTTCGTCAACCCCAAACAGCTGTGTTTGAGATGGCTGGCGATGTGCCAGACGTCCCCGCAGTCCCCCCGGTTCCACCGATGAACAACTACCAGGCTGGGTATGATCAAGAATATAACCAGATGCCGCCCAGAGGACCTAGTGC